GCCAAGATGATAAACTGATATATTAAACCCATAATAATGGGCAGTATTTAACATGATTTGCTGCTTGTGTGTGTTTATTTCAAGGATGGATTAGAACAGCAGATGAAGGAGATTTAACTTCCCCAGTTCAGGAAAATGGTACCACAGGAATGAAGAATAAGTGCTCAAGTGCACAGAATAATGTCATTTTAATATTATGATTCTCTCAAGTGAAAAATTGTTCATTAATAGAAGATTTCAGAGAATGAGGAGAATTGGTGATAACCATGGGCAGAGTTATTTGGTGTGAGAAATCCTAGACTGATAAGGAGTCATAACGTGATTCATTCAATTTAATAACTACGAGCTTGTGAAATAATTAAATTAAATTAAAAAATCAATGCAAAACAACCAACTCCGAACAACCAAAATTCCCCAACACCAAAACGGGAACAGCACACATAATGTTGAAACAGATCTGAACACCCTTTTCTGGAGCATTAAGGATCACAGAAGTGGAGTTAACGGAGTTGTGGGATTATAACAAAGAAGAAGATGTCAACGTGTATTTTCCAAGGTTTACCAGCAGCCTTAATGAAGTACACAGCCTCCTCYTGACTTGCAAAATCAGTGTCCTTTTTTTTTATTCTTTTCCCACAGATAAAGCCATTGTTTTAGTCATTCTCACAGAACCACCTCAGAGAAAAAAATGGAAAAGACACCCAGCGAGTGCAGAACGACACGTGATGTGATATCAGTAACTGATAAAGCATCCCCAAGTCAACAGAAGTTATGCAAACACTGACATTTTGATTTGTGAGCAGYACAATGAGCCTGTGTTTCACATCAGGCTCTGTGCACTGGCTCCAGGTAGCCTGAAAATGGCAATACTCTGTTTATTTCCACTAAGGGATTCCACCTGAGGGATTTTCTCATTCCATGTGTTCTTTGCTCCAACAGATTCTAGCAACGATGCTTTTGTGAAATAAAGTTATTGCACTGATTGGGAAAAAGGGTGTGGAAACAGAGGGTTGGTGAGGAGGTTTTAAGGAACTTTAAGGAAATTTAAGAATTTAAGGAAAGCTGAGGATCCAGGGAGTGGATCCAAAGGGGCCACGTCCCACTCCTGCCATGGCTTTGGATGAGTGAGCACAATGAGGAAGGTGCCAAGGGTTGGGAGAGCATGAGGCAGCATCCAGCAGGGAAAGCTGTGCTGCAGGTCCACAGCAGGCTGTAAATTCAGTCAGAACTCTGGGGATCACTCAAATTGTCATTAAAACCACTCCTGAATATTCACAATTTTCCTACACTCAGCACTGAAGCCCAGCTTTAAGCTCAYGCATGGAAAATATCCTGTATCTCTCATCATCATGAAGATCTCACTACACACCTTGCACACTCAGATTAGTCCCCTGAGCTGCTATAAAATCATTTTTTTTTTTACATTTCTCACTGGTTGTTTAAAAAAGCAAACAAAAAAAAACCAACCAAAAAAAAATAATAAAAAAGAGGTTACAATTGTTAGGGAGCAGCATTCCTTCCTGTCCCAGAAACAACAACGCGTTCTCAGCAACTTCCTCAGGAATTCTCACTCCTCTCTGGCCATTTGTTATCAGCTCAGGCAGTGATGATCATCAGTCCTGGGAGCATGAAAAACTCATTACCCCAAATCTACAAAGCTGCTCAAACTCCTGCATTTCCTGGCATGCCTCCCCACGAAATAAAAATACTGAAGGCTGCCAGCCATGAGGAACAACTGCCCAGCAGAGCTGGCTGRAGGCTGGGATTTCCATCTGCAAGGAAAAAGCTGTAACAATGTAAAAWTTATGGAGCTGGACCAAAAAAGCAGGAGGAGCAGCAGAAAATGTCAAAGCAGAACACAAAAATGGGGTTCATGACGATAAAATCTACGCCAGGGGTTTTAGGGATACAGGACCATCACTTTCCAGTAATTGGGCTAAATTTACTTGAACTTCTAGATATTTTTGGACTCCTCAGCTCCCAGCACTGAAAGTCACTTATGCTGTGGAAAAAAACAGAATTGTGGCTTGTTTTAACATCAAAACCTGAGTGTTCCCCTGAGAACACCCAAGGTTTTGGACTCTTGAGGAATATTCAGAGTATTCAACCCTATCACGGGTGCCTGAACTTTTATTATTTCCAAGTTCTTCCTCTTCATCAGTGAATAATTTTTTTTTTTATCTGTTCAAACAAAGGGAAACTTTGTCTTCCACTCAGTTCCAGTACTGTGTCTTCGCTACATGAAAGATAAAACATGAAAGATCATATATTTATATAAAGCCACGAATGTGATTTTATTCTGTTCTCAGCTCTCAACACACAATTTATCTTTTGTCTATCACAGAAAATTGAACTGATGTGTTCAGATAATTAAATTTGTAGTGGTGCTGCCAGAATTTCTCTCCTTTTTTTCTCACAGCCTATTTAAAGCCCATCACCAGGTGAGTATAGATGAGACTGTTTTCATCGCGAATAATGCTCTGCATTAACATTTAATCTCCCATTTTTCATTGACCTGTCACTATGAAACAGATTWCATTTCACAACTCGATATTTACAGTGTAGAATTTCTTTATCAGTAGGTTATTTCGATTTTCTCACTTTATAGGGGAAATAACCAAGCACTTCAGGAGATGATTTATGGCATTCTAAGCTAGGCACMCAAAATAAGTCAAATTAATCATGACTTTTTTCTGTTTTTTTGAGTATAAAGGCCTAGATGAAAATACTTCCATAGAAAGTAAATAAATTACAGAACCTTAAGAGTGGTTGGGTTGGAAGGGAC